AAAAAAAAAAAAAAAAATCACATCTGCAAAGTCCCGTTTGTCATATAAGTAACATTCACAGGTTCTAGGATTAGGTTGCGAACACATTTGGGAGGCCATTACTGGTAACTGAATAAACTGAGAGTAAAGCACTTCATACATTCCTATCAGTTCTTCTCCTGGGGGCTGGATGAGGTCATAAGCTTAGTGCCAGATCACACAGCGTAGCAAGAGCCAGGTCCTAGGGTCAAGGGAGTCCATGCTGGTGCTTTTCCAGGGTCAGGAAAGTACAGGCTCCACCCCTTGACAACATTATGTGTCTGTCTGTCCTTGTCTCCTGGGTCAAAGTAAGTGTCAGGGTCAGGGTCCTGGGTTCAGCAAAAGTTTTGCTTAACAATGCAAGAATAGTGCTACCTGATGGTGGAAAGTCATGCCCAGGCTGAGATAAGTGAACACAGACACTTTCTTCCCAGTTTCATCAACTATGGACTGAGCCTGCCAGAGGCTGGGCATGTGCGGGCTCACAGTGGCAATGGAGACAGAGGGGAGCCCATCAGTCAAACGGGACTCACTCTCTCTGGGACTCAGAGTCTAAAGAGGAAAACAGAGGCATAGGAATGGCAAGACAGTGTCAGAGAAATTTTCTGCACTCTGAAGCCAGCCAGAGGAAGGGAGCAAACTGCCCAGCACTAACTAGTCAGAGGGATCAGAGACCAAGAGGCCCTGACCGCTCCACATGCCAGGTCTTTGGCTCTCTTTCCACCTTACCTCCTTCCTGTGAGTCTCCCCGCTCTGTATCTCTCGCCCCTCCTTCTGTTTCTCCCATTGCTTCCATCTGTTGCTGTCATAGAAGGGGTGGTGAAGAAGGAGGGAACACTGGCAGCAGACACTGAACATCTGCAGGACTTGCAGAGTTGTGGGCAAGGGCAGGCACCAACACACAAGCACAAACAACCTGCACACATAGACGCACCCGGTTTGTTTATGTGTTAAATTGGGTTACAGTTTGCCGTCGTACAAAGGCAGTGGTAGGCCCAATTTGATTTCATTGAA